CCTGGTCGGACCCACAGGCGGCGCGGGTGAGGGCCCGCAGCAGCCAACGCGCGACCTCCGTCGGGGGGTGGCCGCCGCCGCTGAAGGTAATCACCACCTCGTTGGCCCGTTCCTCCGTCGAATAAACGGCCCCGTGGAGGTGCTTCGTGATGGCCTTCTGGGCCGCCACGACGCAGTCTTTCGCCACCCCGGCGAGGGCCGGGGGGGAGGTCGGGGGGTGCGGCATTCGCCCTCGCGGCCTGCTAAGAAATTCCTACTCCGACACCCACCACACGACACAGTAAAACAAAGCAGACAACCGATTCGCCGAATCGATCGTGCGCCTCTGACGTTCTCTATACGAAAAATAACTGAGAAGAAAAGGGGAATGAAGGGGGATGGGTCGTCTATTTACACAAGGGAGAAGGTGGGAGATCAATTCGGGGTGGAAACCTATCAATTCACAATCCTTATTTCATCCAATTCGTTTAAAAAAGCGGGTCTACCTCATCTTTTAGAGGCCTTAATTTAGTCATAAACAGTTCTTCATAGCAGTAAAGGAAAAACAAAGGAATAATCGATCTATAAATGGATCACTAACCATAAAAACGACTCTCTGAGCCTCGCCTTTTTAAGTGATATGGGGCTATGCGGATGCAAAGTGCCCTCCCACCACGAATGTGTCACCCCTCCAATAGTGTGTGAATCGCGGAGAGTAATACGGTCGAGGAAAAATTCAAGTTGATCGGGCGACACCCCACCAGTATCAGCTTTTCGTTCGGAGCGACCAGGAGCCAAACCGCGATCGGCGCCCCAACGAGGCCGTCGCAGGCCGCCTTCATAAAACCCTCATTATTTTGTTTCTGGGCGATAAAGGACGATTCGGACATGCCAAAAAGCGATTCCCCCACCGCCGTGTGGCCGACGGCGCAGGCCCAATCGATCGTGTCGCTGAGGTGCAACACGACGTAAAACGACTCGCGCGTTTGGGCGATTTCGCCGCAGTGGGGGCAAGCGCTCGGGAACGGGTCGACGGGCTCCGCCCGCTGGCCGCGGCAACGCCCACAGACCCACCGCGTCACGGGGCGTTCGATTTCTTGAAGCCGCACCATCGCCGGGAGCGTCGGGGAGGCCTCGAAGAGGCGCCAGGTCAGCCGCAGCGGCCGCTCCACGAGCGCGCCGCCTGGGGCCTCGCGGTCGGCCTCCTGCGAATCCCCCCGCGACGCCGTCAAAGGGAGGGTCGGGCGCGGGTCCGTGGGCGGGGTGGCGGCCTTGGCGTCCACCGGCTGCATGCAAATGGTGAAGCTGTTAAAGCGGCTGCTCAGGATTCGCTTCCGCTTGAACTCGCGGACGGCGTAGTTCGCGAAGCACCAGCGCTCGCCCGGCTGGGGGAGGAACTGCTCCGCGACGGTCCCCCACAACGTCACGGCCAACTCCCACGGGGAAAACCCCTTGCTGGGAAGGGGGGATTCCCCTTCCTCCCCGGCCGGCCAGACCCGCAGGGTG